GTTCCTCCGAAACGTCGGCCAAAACGAAGAATACACGGTGCCTAAACCCAGAAGACAACTTTCTTCATTGTCATCGCCGTGAAAACCTCAAAACTTACATAGGAAACAGATGTTTTGAAACTGTGGCACAGTTCAGATATTTAGGAACAATGATAACAGATCGAAACCTGATTCAGGAGAAAATTAAGAGGAGATTGAACTCTGGTAATGCTTGCTACCATTCAGTCCAGAACCTTTTGTCTTCTCATCTGCTGTCCAAAAACATAAAAATTAGAATATACAAAACTATACTTTTGCCAGTAGTTCTGTATGGGCGTGAAACCTGGTCTCTGACATAAAGGGAGGAACATAGACTGAGGGTGTGTGAGAACAGGGTGTTGAGGAGAATATTTGGACCGAAGAGAGATGAAGTGACAGGAGGTTGGAGAAAACTGCATAATGAGGAGCGTCATAACTTGTACTCTTCTCCAAGTATAATTAGAATGATCAAGTCAAGGAGGATGAGGTGGGCAGGGCATGTAGCACGAATGGGGGAGACGAATGCATATAGGATATTGGTGGGAAAGCCAGAAGGAAAGGGACCACAGGGAAGACCAAGGCGTAGGTGGGTGGACAATATTAGAATGGATCTTAGAGAGATAGGATGGGATGGTATTGATTGGATTGATCTGGCTGAGGATAGGGACCAGTGCAGGGCTCTTGCGAACATGGTAATGAACCTTCAGGTTCCATAAAATGCTGGGAAATTCTTGAGTAGCTGCAGAATTGGCGGCTCCTCCAGAAGGGCTCAGTTCCATGAGTAAGTAAGTAAGCCAACAATATGCTTAAATGAATCCGCCAGCCCCAACCTAAGAAACCAAGGCTCTTCCCGCAGGTGAAACAGTGGTATTGTCCACTACACCAAAATTTTCATACTGCATACTAATTATTAATAGATTAGAAAGTAAGCAGCAAACAGTATTAACTTTTTGATAGAGACTATTTTGTTATACGCAAGATTCAGCTGGTCCCTATTCTGAGCCATACCACTCATCCTGTTTCTTTAAGACCCATCTTAGTATTGTCTTTCCAACTACATCTAGGTCTTCTTAGTGGTCTCTTTCCTTCTGGTTTCCTACCAAAATCGTATATGCATTACTGTTATCCCCATGCTTGTTACATGTCCTGCCCATCTTATCCTCCTTGAGTTGATCATTCTAATTATACTTCACGAACAGTACAAGTTATGAAGGTCCTCATTATGCACTTTTCTCCAACCTCCCATTACTACATCTCTCTTTGATTCAAATATTCTCCTCAGCACCCTGTTCTCTAACACCCCCAGTCTATGTTCTTCCCTTAATGTCAGAGCCCAAGTTTCACGCCCATACAGAACCATAGGCGAAATTATACATGGAGATCGAAAAGTCGCACGCATCAAACTAAAAGTTGTTATAAATTGTATTGCAGTTAATGTAGTAAAATTTCCTACTGCTAGATGGTACTGTAGGAGTACTAACAACGAGTAGAAACGTCATCTGTCGTGTATCGGTCATACGATGTCTGCAGTATAGCTTTGTTTATTGTGTGACAGACATGTCATTTTCCCAAGAACGAGTTTTCATTGTGGAACATTATTTCACCAGTCGCTCTTATGCACATGTTGCAGACGAGTTTCTTCGAGAATATCCAGATTCTGCAGTTCCTATTAATTCAGCGATAACGAGAATAATCAACCGATTTCGGGAATGTGGATCAGTTTCAGATAGGAAGAGATCCGGGAGACCGGTCATTTTGACAGAGGCTAAACTGGCTGACGTGGAGAAAATGTTGCAGCGTTCCCCTTCAGAGAGCCTGGGGAGACTATCAGCGCAATCAGGGATTTCGTGCGGAAGTGCTCAGAAAGCAATGAAGAGGTTACACCTTCGTGCATATAGAGTTCACTGTGTGCAGGAACTGAAGGACTTGCATAAAGAAAAATTGCTTAGTGTACTCTAGATGGTTTCAGACATTTGTTCACAATCATGGCATTGAAGAGTCTGATCGGGTTTTCCTCACTGACGAAGCATGGTTTCACCTTAGTTGCCACGTGAACAGTCGAAACAATAGGATTTGATCATCTGAAAATCAACGTGTTACATGGAAAGCACTGTTAGAAAATTGGAGTGTGGTGTGCTGTATCACGTCGTTGAATACTGGGTCAAATTTTCTTTGAAACAACAGTGAACAGTCCAGTGTACCAAGACATCATTACACAGTTTATTGCGCTTCTTGAAGTTGGTGAACATGAGTGTTGGTTGCAGCAGGATGGTGCCACATGTCACACATCTAATGAAACCATGCAGTTCTTGCACGAGTTTTTTGGTGACTGTCTCATTTTGAAAGGATTGTGCCAAATCCCAGAAGACTACTTTCCTCATAGTCACCACTGTGAAAACCTCAAATCTTACATGCATGCTTGCGCATGCATTGCTGAACAAGGAAGCCATTTCGAGCATATGTTGTAAAGACATTATTTGATTTTGCATTTCTAAGATGTAAGATTATAAACATTAATAGTAAGTTCTGTATAACTTGAAGTTTGTGCATTAAACCAGCAAAATATAATTGCTTAGTGTGATGTGCACAACTTCACGATCTCCCTGTAGTTTTGTATATTCTAGTTTTTATGCTTTTAGACAGCAGACAAGGAGAAAATAGGTTCTGGACTGAATGATAGCAAGCATTACCTGAATTCAGTCTCCTCTTTATTTCCTCCTGAATCAGGTTTTGTTCTACTTATTCCCAAATACCCAAACATCTGTTAGTTATCTTTATGTCATAATTTTGCCCTGCATCCTCGTAATGAGACAGCGACATATATGTAGATTTCTTTGTGTTTACTTGTAGACCAACCTCCATACTAGTGTCAGTTGAAGTTGGTGTGCATTTCTTTATGGCCTATATTAACACTCTGTAGATCTCATACGAGTAATCAGCATGGACCAGCAGATGATGTGTCCCATGTAATTTCAGTCCCACTTGGTTTTCCTGGACCTTCCTAATGGCATATTCTAAAGCAAAGTTGAAAAGCAGTGGTGATAAAGCATCTCCTTGTTGTTGACCATTCCTGGTGTGAAAATTATTGGACAAATATTTACCTACATGGACTTCATGATACATTTCATTTAAACACATTTAAATAAGCCTAAGTAGTTTCATGGGTACACCAAACTATGAGAACATACTTACAAAATGTAAGTATGTTCACCATATGCCAAATGTTAAACTTAATAATTATCAGGAGCATACTATACAAGTATCAAGTTATTCAGTATTCTTCCACCTACAACCAAAAATTAAATCGTGATATAAAAGTGATCAAGCCTGCATTGAGTATTTCCTTCTTAACTCACTCCTGCTCTACAGATGATCTTACCTTTCTGGAAAAGTTCCTTCCTTCCTGATATTTGTGTGCAGTCAGCACACCACTGTCAGTTTCTTGAATGTCTGCTGGAGACTATGCATTCTGTTTATGTCAGTTTGCATACCAATGTCCATGAAACAGTGCACACTTCTATCCCATCATGTTTCAATGTCAGTAGGCATAAATAAGTCATTTAAAAGTCTTCTGACAGTGGAATCAATCCCAAAATTAGGTCTGTTTATTATTCAGAAACATACTGGGTTTTTGTAGAATTATTATAAATAATGAAAGAGGATTAATGCAAGAGCCAGGGCTGTGGGCCATTTAAAGGTATAACACAACGTTCACTGAGAGAGACTGAGGAAAACAGTGAAAGCTTCAATGAGGTTAGTCAGTTCGTAACTTTGAATCAAACTGAATAATTATTGAGTATACAACATGTCAGGTACATTGCTGGGAAACATCACTCTAGAATTTTAAACAGATAATATAAGATGAGGTGCTTTCATACAGTGTGGTAGCTTACCTTCAAATGTGGCATTTCTCTTGCTAGATCTAGCATGTCCTTAGTTCCTAGAATATTTATGGCAACAGCTGTTGTAAGTTTTTCATCAAAACGAACTGTTGCCGCAGCGTGGAATATTATGTTAACCCGATGGACTAACAGAGCATGGTCCTCTTTGCTCAGTCCAAGTCCTCGTTGTTCATTGTCACCTGTGACAAGAACAACTTTGCTGATGCAGTTTGGTTGTTCCCGCTGTAGTCGTTCATACAGCTGCAATGATGAAACAAAGAGTTCCTTGAAGGGATAATACTAAGGACCAGATTATAACAAGAAATTACTCTGACCCTAATGCAGCAGCAAGCATTTACAGCAAGATTATAAGTGTATTTAAGGGAATGTAACATTATTCTTCCCACTGATAGATAAATTGTCCTGTTACAGGTATATTACAACATGAAACATGCCCATCTCTTAATCAGGATTGACATGTTTTTTTTCTCTGTATTGAAAACTTAAGCTTTTATAGACACACCTGATGTTACAAAACACAGTCTTTTTATTTCCATTACAAATCTTTTAATTTACTTCCTCTAGGTTTAATTTTAGAATCATGGAAGCATTCCATCGGAATCCTTTACAAAAAAAACTGCACTGGAGTTGAACTTCTATCTCAGTGCTGAGAACCTAACGTCTGTCTGGTCACAGGCACAGCACCCCTCATTTAAACAAAATAAGCTGTACCACCTTACCACCACAATCTTCTTAACATAACAGTGTGTTGTTAAACAATACTACAAATCTAGGAATTACTGGCTGGATTGATGAGAAGAATACAAAAATAGACTTACACTGCTATCAAATATTTTCTTAAGGCGTTCCTTTTCTGTCATTCCCTTCTTAGGTCTGATGATTATGTAGAGTTTGTCTATTTGACAGGTGCGGAGAAGTTTCTCCATTAGCACCTGACCCATGAATCCTGTTGCTCCAGTGAGAAGGACCTGAGCACCCTGAAATAGTTCCAGGATGTTGCTATTTCTCAGGCCCACATCCTTCTTGTCCATAGTTGTCATTGTTTCTGTGGAGTATAAATGCATGACTACAGCTGCAAAAAATATTGTGGTTTGCTGGAGATGAATGTCAGCAAGAAATGAAGAAAATTGCACAATGAAGAATTTTTTGTTTACATTCTTCTGGTATTGTTATAAGGTAAAGATGAAGTTGCTCATGTTGTTAATTAATAAAGCATCATGCCATGAAGATGTGTGGGGGAGTAGAGATATATCTCCGCCATTTCCTTGACCTCATCTCAAAAGAGGGGTGAGTAGTCATCTCCAGGCTCTGGCCACTTTTCCCGGAGAAAGACACCGTGGTGCCCATTGGGCAGGATGCTGGGGTGGGCCTCAAAGTTAAGTCTGGACACTGAGGAGTAGAGAAAAATATCTTGCCCCTGCCAGGAATCAAACCCTCACCATCCAGCCTGTAGCCTGTCACTGTATCAATGAGTGTCTAGTTAAATAAGAGAAGGTCTGATTATGTCACTTGGAATTGTCTTGAAGACTTGTTACATCCCTGTTTCTTTATGAAGTCTGGAGTCACTCCCTCTACTAAGTTCTGTGGCCTGTTACGAGGTTAGCCTCTCTCCAGTTACAAATATAATATCCATCATTATTGTCATGTAAGTCAGTGAGTTCAGGTGTTATCTCAACATTGAACAGTAGTAGAACACAGAAAACAGACACACAAACACATGTGGTGCACAGATAAAGACTAAGTACTAAATCAGTAGACACTAGGCAAATTGCCTTCATGTTTATTCTGAAAACATCTGGCATAAGGCATTCACTGCCAAGGGCAGCAGTTACCTAGCATTTACTGAGAGCTGTTTGCGCCATTTGGCATGTGGACAGTGCTGGAAGGGAGTACTAGGGGTATTACATTGAGTGCTATAGTGGCAGAATTTTATTAATGAAGAGTGAAATATTTGTGTAATTAATAATTATGCCAGTGTTTTGAAAAGCATAATGTGACGTGCTGCCTGAAAGCATCCATCACTATGCAATGGACAATGAGAAAGCATACTGCCTAGGAAACCACTTGAAGAACACTTGCGCCTAACACTCGGCTAGCAATATCTAAGCAACGAATTGTTTGAGGCAGTAAAAATGTATTCCCGCAGCAACCAGAGGTTCATTGCATAGCAGTTGGCAAAACTTAACCCTTCAACAAGGTGTTCCCTGTTCAGCTTGAGTGCAGGATATAACAGTCCAACTTCTGCAAGACACCAGTTAGTTCATATCCAACAAGAGACCAGTCAGTTTAGCTTTGACAAGATCTCCAAGCAGAGCCAAGACGCCGCATAAGTGCAAATAATTGTATATGTGAGTGTAAAGAGTGACTGTCCAAATTCAAGACCCACACAATTTTCTTGTCATGTTGCCTAGGAAACACGTGACAATATTTAATTTGATTGAACAGTTTCCAAGTTTGACATTGCTCCCTCTTCTTCTTCCCAGTTGTAACTGAAGTCCTAACCAACCAATATTCCCCAAATGGAGGGTCAGGTTCTACATGTCTGAGTCATCACAAATTCATAATTGATACCTGAGACCTTAGCTCTTCAGATTATTCCATGTATGTACTGTCCCACACGATCATTAATGAAAAGGTTGGCATTCATTGCTTGGGGTGAGTGGTGAGATCAGCCACAGCAACTTAATGAGAGAACTAGCCTGCTACAGCTAGTTTGGTCATCAGTATGAGGTGGTGATATGCTACAGGCTCTTAATGGTTGGAATGCATGCTCAGCTAGCCAAGTGATTATCACTGTCACTGTGTTATTTCACTGCTCCTAGTCAGCCAATATACTTGTAATTCAGTCAGTCCACCTACATCTTGAGTCATGACAGAACACACAAGTACAGTCGCAGAACATTTTGATGTAAGGGGTATGAACTTCAGCAGGATATTGAGAACATTACATAATGAAGAATTTTATGTTCATGATCTTCTTCCAATATTGTTATGGTAATTAAATAAAGGAAGGTCTGATTATTGCACTTGCAGCTGAGAAACAAGATGTACTTGGAATTTTGGTGGGAAACTGCTTGGACAGTGAAAACTTAAAAGACTAGGAAAGACTTGAGGACTAATAAGCCTTAAGAATTTTGACTCCTTGAGCATAAGCCAGCGTATTCACCCTCTTTCCTTCCCAGAGTTTACTGCAAGACTTTCTTCCATTTTGGATTATAGGTGCACTAGAAAACACTTTTGAAGCTTTTAATGTTTCAGCAGTGGAGTGTGCATTAGTATCGTGTTATGTCCATGCTTACCTTTTGCATGATTTTTATTTGCGTGATTCAAAATGGAGAGACACCACACACCATCTTCATATTATAAACGACTTTGTCTATCAAATGCAGTGCTCTGTTTCAGAACCAATCCATAAAGAAACAGTTTGACATGGCAGTAAATTTAGTCACTGTCAGTTTTCCCGTGATCATTTTAACCCCCCACATGAATATGTAAACCCCAATGTGTAAAGTATATTTTAATGCATTTTCTAGTTATAAATCCATGAGATATCATTCACTGTGAAATTTGTGGTATCAGTTTTATCAATACATCTGATATTTTATCTTGTCCTTCCTTAACAGATGTAGGAAAATTTTTAATCGCCTGTTATACCTCAACGATGTCCTATGTTCCTTGGCTCCTTTATAGCTTATGGAGATTTTAACTTCAGTCTCTTTAGTCTTTTATATTTTATGATGTATTTTATGCTTACATGTGAATATTGTATTTTATTCTTGTTTCTTTTTCTGCAACTCAAGTACTTTTGTTACAGAATATCAGATATCCTCTTACTTAATTTTAATGATGGCTAGGAGTCCATTGTTACACTTCCATTTACAGATCAGTTGTGTCTTATATATATGGACAAATACCGTCTTAAATGCAACAATTTTATTGTAGTTTTACTTCTTTTTTCCTCCTCCACACTACATGTTTCGGCCCTAAATGGCCATCATCAGGTGTGTATCACTCACGTAGCTGTTACACTGCTTGTTAAAATTTAAAATCACCAGTCTTTCTAATTGTATAAAATCTTTGTTAATCTACACGCGTCGATTTGATTTTTAAATTAGCACTTTTTAAAACTTTAATTCAAGTTAAAATGTCTATAAGATCTCTGTTCTTTCTTTTTCAAATTTTTTAGTTAAAAATTTTTCAGGGTACATGCCCTATATCTACGGTGCTGCAGCGGCCACTTCTTGTTTTTATCGTTGTTCATGTGTTGTCTGTAATATACAAATATTCCTGTTACTATCTTATGTTATGTCATGTTATGTTATTCTTATATGTTTATACTGTTATTTGTACTTACTCAGTGTAGGCGCTCTCTGTGTGTGTCGCTGCTTATCTTTAATACGTTTGCTGTCTGGTGTACTGTGTGCTGTGTTTTATGTTCGTGAGTGTTGGTGGGGGAATGGGTAGTGGGGGGAGGGAGGTACNATTATTTCTAATATCATGTAGATGTTCTTTATATCTAGCGTTAAATGTTCGGCCCGTTTGTCCAATGTATTTCAATGGGCAATCTACACATTTCATTTGGTATATGCCACTTTTATTGTATTTATCTAATTGTGGTTTTTGTTTGAGTATGTTTTCTATTGTGTTACGTGTGCGGAATGCTACTTTTATCTGTGTGTCTTTAAAAAGTTTTGTAATTTTTCTTACTTCTTTTGTACTATATGTAAATATGGCCCACTTTGTTTTTGGTTGTTGTTCGTCGTCATTTGTGTTTGATTTTTGTTCTCGTTTTGTCTGATTCGATCTTTTGATTATGTTAGTGTCGTATCCGTTGTTATGTAGTATGTTTTTAATAGTGTTCTTCTCTATTTGTTTTCCTTTTTCTGTTATTGGGTATGTGTGGAGTCTATTCATTAAGTAATTAATACCTGACAATTTGTGCTCGAATGGATGGCACGAGCTGTTAGGTATTATGATGTCTGTTTGTGTGGGTTTTCTATATATTTCGAATTGCAAGCTATCTTCATTACGATGTATTGTTATATCTAGAAAGTTAATAGATTCTTCTTGTTCTCTTTCAATTGTGAACTTTATAGTTGGTTGCAATTCGTTAATTTCTTTGAGTGTATGTCCTATGTTCGTTATTTTTTCGTCATATATTATTAATATGTCATCGACATATCTAAAGCATGCCACTATTTGTTGTTTTACTAGAATGGGAAATATTTGAGTGTGTTCCATATATTGTATATATGTTTCTGCTATTATTGCCGATGTTGGGGCTGTGTATAATATTGTAAACAGTTGTGTCTTGTTTTAATTTATTTCTTCTCTCCACTTTCCCTTGAACTTCTTTATTATATGATTAAGGTAATGTAAATCTTTATTTCTGCTTAAATCTTTCTTTTTCATTTTATGCCAGTTTACTCATTACTGTATAGAGTTGGACAGTATACAGTATAATAAGACATGGACTAAGTAAGTGATACACTTAAAATCCTGCTACCAACTTAAATGTCTAGAGCACTGTAACATCCTAGGTGTAATTATCCTGATATTTTCAAAAAGAGAGTAAGAATAACACAGTTAAGACAATCTTCATTTTCCTCTTATTCTCTTTTCTTAGATATGAGCATTTTTTATTTTTTCAATTTACCAAATCCTTCCAGTCGCACTATGGCCTTGGGGCCGACTCAGCCTCTAACAGAAATGTGTACCACGAATATTGTTGGGGGTAAAGAGTGGCTGGCGCGTAAGGCTGACAACCTCACTGCCATCTCTGAGCTGATTGTGTAGAAAATGTGGGAGCTTCGACCTCACACAACCCCATGGGCCTCCACGGCCTGCTACAGGGATAGCTTTACTTTTTTTTTTTACCTGTTAAAAATATTTGTAAATTGTGCATCCATCAGTTGAAGACATGTTTCACTACCACTAAAGCAGCAAATAAATACTTTACACATAAATTTATTCTTTAGCTTATGAAAGATAGGTGACTTGGTAACAGCCTTTCAGTTGTACAGTACCGTAATTTACATAATTTTATTCTATCATTGAGTGTTATATTATATGTTATGAAACATGATGTAATACCATGAAATGTGAATTAAGCATGATCTTATTTCACTTTACCAGAAAATTTGGGAAGCACTGTCAAGTCTGAAGAAACACTGTGTATTGTTCCTTAATGAAGACAGGCTCAATACTGGATATAAAAAGAAACAAAAAAATGTTTACTGCTGAAATAATCTGTGCAAGAATGACGTCAACAGAATATTAAACACCTCTAAAATGTTGCTCATGTAATGAATTTAATTCAGAACAGACAATGCACAGGAAGCTCAGGTCTACGTAATGAATATAATTACCTCCTAATCTTGTTCCTGTATGAATAATTAATTGAATACAGTATAGACAAGAGCACTTTCACCCATACAACCTTTGTGTGACTGTAAATCTTCAAAGAATATATGTTCAAATCTCATATTTTTAAAAGTATGTCACAATTATTATGATACTCATTTTGAAAGCATCTGTAATTCAAAGCAGGAGCACTGAAATTTAAAATCAGATTGACATTTCTTCAGGTATTTTTATCTGTATTTGTCTTTCGTAACATTAGCACTTATACAGTATACAGAATAACACATTTACAAGTGTTAAAAATCCAGAAGTTCTGCAGATTGATATAGGGACAGTTCACTGAGCTAGCTAGTGTAGTGACAACACTCAAGACTTGTAGTACTATTTAGGAGATATTCCATTCAAACGTCTGCTGGAAGACTGGCTATCTTGCTTAAGTTCTCTTTCTGAAGTTTTCTTCAGTCAGCCTTGACAGATGCCCCGATAGTACCTTGATTAGGCCATGACCACTTCCTTCCAAATCCTTTCAAGTTCACTATTTACCAATCTGGCCATTCAGTGACATATAGTCTGAGATATTGACATGTAAAAGAACGCCACAGGTGGACAGACAGACAAACTCATTTTATAGATATGTCATAACGGACTCATAGATAATATCTGCAAAACAATAACAGAATATGCACCTTTACTGACCATGAAGTACGTCAGATTTAAATCAAATATAGTGGCAGCAAATTTCAATTTATAATGAAGCTATTGTAACATGGATGGCCAGAGCATTGCTAAGCAGCGGCTCGGAAAACAAAACTCAACAATAGAGAGACTGCCTTCTATTTAGTTCGCGCCACGACCTTTCCTATCCAGTGGTTCGGTAAACACGTGTCAGCAGTGGAAGACGGTGTTTTCCATGGAGACCTTGGAAAGCAGAAGATACTAGAAATAGGGCATAATCTGCTGTATTGAGCCTTGACTGACAGAGACCCTGTATATATTTTATATACATTTATTAACGTGTAAATATCCTTTACATTATGACAAATGACTAACTACTACAGACAATTACGCTGACAAAAGAGAGACCCGTCCTCTCGTCAGAGAGGGCGCCCTACAAAAGTAAGACCGAAGCTGTAAAAAATTATTAATATCTGGTCATAAGCCCCAGATTGAGCTTGACACCAAGATTGACTGACTAACCGACCGACCGTCAGTCGCAATGTGACTTTGACTTACAGTTAAGTTCTAAGTTCTGATTTCTCGGTAGAATATAGTCACGGAAAGTTCGTCGACCTGTGAAAACTCAAAGTGTGATTAGAAGGCTCCATTCACGTGTAATACTTGGAATATATGATTCAGTGAGACTTGTAGTTCCTGCTTTTTAGGTGTGGTACCAGAAGAGGACCAGTATGTGTGTAAATCAGCGACAGCGCTATATTAAATATGAGAGATTGTAACCAAGCTGCTAATAACTCCAGTCTTCCTACCTAGAACCCATAATTTTCGTCGCGCGTACCATCCTACACGTGAAATTTGGGTGTCAGAAGTTGGCGGTTCGGATCGCAGTGGTTACGACAGTGGAGGCACACGGTAGCGTAGTTGGTCAAGGCTCTATGCTACAAGCCGGAAGGTCGTGGGTTCAAGTCCCGATGAGGTCATTGGATTTTTTTTCAGTTTACCTAATCCTTCCGGCCGCACATGGCCCAGGAGTCGACTCAGCCTCTAGCAGAAATGAGTACCAGGAATTAATTAAATAATATTGCTGGGGGCTAAAGAGCGGCCGGCGCGTAGGGCTGACAACCTTACCGCCATCTTTGAGCCGATTGTCTAGATAATGTTGGACCCTCAACGTCTCACAATCCTATGGGCCTTCACGGTCTGTTACAAGAATAGCTTTACTCTTTTTTTTTACTTTGTGGTTACGACAGTAAATACGTGAAAATTTTGTGTCAGTAGTCACGCAGCCATAAACTCTTGACAACTGAGGACTGCGGAAGAAGTTACGTTGCATGAATTCGAAGATTAAATTGGGTAGTCATACGACGAATATGAGACGAACGATGGAACAAATAAGGGAAATGTTGAGCGTAGCGGAGGCTGTCGTAAGTACCAACCCAAAAGACGCTCAAGCCCACTACGCAAAGATGGAACCATTGTGGACCAGGCCGCAGGCCGAAAGGGAAGAGGACATAAAAGTCACCCGCCGACCGAGAAAAAGGAAGGAAGATATGAACGCCTTTAATGAAATGATATGGGGAAGGGAGGCTGAAAGGAAAGCCGACAAGGAGAAGCGGATGGCCAAAGGGAAAGCTGAACATTAAAGAAAGGAAGCTGAAAGGAAAGCCTACGAGGAGAAGAGGATGGCCGAGCGAAAAGCTGACCAAGAAAGGGGTACTGAAAGAAAAGCGACGAGAAGAGGATGGCCGAGCGGAAAGCTGGCCAAGAAAAACGAGAAGTTGAAAGGAAAGTCGACCGAGATGTGGCAACAAGGCTGGAAGTCATTCACTACAACACGGACGCCAACTAGATGAGAGTGGAACCCGAAACGGAACATAAAGATAAAATGGCGGCCTGGATAGCGGGCACGATGAATGCTCGAAAAGAAACGACGGCCTGCCAAGATGCAATGGAAACCATTCTAGAGAAGACGGAGCCAAATCCAGGAGAAAACGAGACCGTAATGGAACGGCAGGAGATTCCTAACATAAAGGTCGCGATTCACTTCATGACGGCATGCCCAAAAGAGAGAACGGCCTATCAAGAAGCTACGAGGGCCAGTCCAGAGAAGATGGAGGCAATTGATCGCGCGACACTCATCTGGGAACATGATAACCATGACGAAAACTAATCAAGAAAAGATGGAAGCCACGGATTTGAAGGAAAACCCGGAGGAAATGGAATGCGAGTAGGAAAATCGGGAGGTCCATAACCGCAGTTATGCCGGTCGGAGGACTGAGGAAACGGCGTAGGGATCGGAATCTGGACGCGGGGCGCCGCCAGAAGCCGACGGAAAGGATACAGGCAAGTTGTGAATCGAGGAAGAGGTCAACAGTCGCTGGCAGGAGGACGACCTGCTGTGCAGGAGAGGCGTCATCAGAAAGGATTGCACCAGGGCCAAGTTCGAGCGATCAACCCAGAGAGCGTAGTCACTCAGGAAGAATTTACGGACGCACCATGAAGGAAAAGGAGGGACAAAGAATGTAGGCAGCAAGCGGTCGCTATACGCGAGTAAGAAGAGGGAAACAGCAGTCGGCATAGGAGGATGGAGCTCAAGACAGCTGTCGTGAAACAAGACCTCAAGAAGTATTCTTGCGACGTCACTTTATTACGCTTCCACGTAACTACAATTCGACATAACTGTAACAGAATGTTGAACAAGTCATTTCACAGCCGCTCCTTTCGTGTTAACAATTCTCGCTAGACTGTAGAACTGCTCTGCTCTCCGCGCTGGCTAACCACTGGCTTCTGTCAACACACTGCACAACTCGGTCCTCAGCTCTGCTTGTTATACTGTTGCCTGTTACCCTAGCAGCAGCAGCGTCCGCTGTTACGTCAAAGCGGGGAAGTGTTTACTGTCTCGTTGCCTAGCGCACCTCCTCTGCTGTTGCGTCACAGTGGGAAGTGTTTACTGGCAATGCATGCGTTATCGCGTCGCGCTGAGTCCACGATTCCCAACATCCTCTCCACCCTGGTCAATCCAAAGGAATGACCAACTGCACTGGACAACTGATTCTCGTTGTGTTCGTTTGTCGATGGACAGTTGTCTCTTCCTGGACACAGTTCTTCAATCATAGTTTTCTTCCACGTGTGAGTCATTCTCGAGAACCCCCGCAATGCAGGCTAGGCGTGAGTCATTCTCGAGAGTCCCTCCGTGATGCAGGCGAGGCGTGCTTCAATCCATTCTCAAGAGCCCCTCCGTGATACTGACGAGGCGGGAGTCAATCTCGAGAGCCCCCCGCAATGCAGGCGAGGCGTGAATCAATGTATTCTTCAGACTTCTCCACAGCAGTCGTGTATTCACTGTCACATAAAAGATCCTGGATATCGTTATCCAATGAAATTAGTTGATCCAGGGTCTCCAGTAGAAGATCATGGTAATGCTCATAATCCTCAAGTGGGGTGCTTGCGGTGGATTCAGTTATAAAGGTAGTGAACCAGGTCGCCTTCGCCGTTGCCGTGGAGCGCTTCCTCTGTAGCCTTCGGAGTTTGGTATCCGCTGTGTCGAGTTGTGAGGGTATCTCCAAGTATGATCTCACAGGCTGATTGATCGTCTGTGTGGGTCTGTCGAAAGTCAAAAGTCAGAAATGTCGACAGAGCCAAGTTGAAGTCAGCGACCGTGGGCGCGTTTGTTTTCTCCTGTCCCTCGAAGTCTTGAAGTCTAAATGTGTCGAGAGAAAATTACTGCTTCGTGATGGTCACAGATTCTTTCGCGATCACCAAGATTCCACAATCCTTCCCAGGTTTCGGCACAAAAAAAGGTCGTAAAACCGTATTCTTGCGACGTCACTTTATTACGTTTCCACGTAACTACAATTCAACGTAACTGTAACACAGAATGTTGAACAAGTCGTTTCACGGCCGCTCCTTTCGTGTTAACAGTTCTCACTAGACTGTAGAACTGCTCTGCCCTCCACCCTGGCTAACCACTGGCTTCTGTCAACACACTGCCACGCTCGGTCCTCAGCTCTGCTTGTTATACTGTTGCCTGTTGCCCGTTGCCCTAGCAGCAGTGTCTGCTGTTACATCACAGAGGGGAAGTGTTTATTGTCTCGTTGCCTAGCACAGCTCCTCTGCTGTTGCGTCACAGCGGAGAAGTGTTTGCTGACAACGCGTCATCGCGTCGCGCTGAATCCACAATTCCCAACAACAGCTATCACATCTGGGAAGAAGAGGACCAGCCTACAAGACCCACAAGAAGACCCTAGAGTTGTATTTCGTGAAGCGAGCAAACGGGGTGTCCATCAGGTTTCAGAAAATGGAAAATGTGGAGAGGTCCGTCCCCTCCGAAACAAGAAACGAGATTGTGCACGGAGTAGGAGCCGGAAGTGTGGGGACACCCGTCACTTGAGACTGTTTTGCCTCACAAAAAAAAGTGGATGATGGTGAGATCATGAACTGACTGGAATCCTATCATGGAGAGCTCAGAACGAGATCCTTTAATGAGGGAGCGGATGTAGCAGTCGGAGAGTGATCACCGCGGAGGAACCGAACCACAAGGAAGTGGTGTCATGAGCCGAAATTTCAGAATACCACAGTTTTAACCACTTTTAAACCAGAATTGAAACACCTTTATTCTATTGACAACAGCCTGAAGTATATATAGTGTATCAACTTACATAATTCCATATAAAACATGATAATGATTATATGATGAACAAAACAGGTTTCATCAAAATTCAGTGCAACAAGCATACAGTGATATTGGGAATGGTTAAATAAAAAATATGCTATTCATCCCATCACCAAAACGGTGCACAAAGAAAGAAAGGGGTGGCTGAACAAGGATTGTGTATTTGGACACAATAACAGACTAGTTGTAGAAATTAGCAACCCACCAAATATAAGAAGATTGAGGAGACAGTGGGTGTCTGACCTACCACAATGCTCAGATGACAAAGATTAAAACCATTGCCACTCTTCTACATCGGTGAATGACTTCTCTACTCAAGACAAGTACTTAGAACAAATTTACTTAATACTCCATATTATTGAGAATAGATTGTAAATATGCTGTTAATTAAATAAAAAAAGAAGGATGCAAACACAGTTAAATATTGTGGCATGTAGATCCGTTACTAGGTAGTGATCTCAAACAGACAGGTTCCTGTGGTAATGAATCAGCACTCAAGAACAGAGGAACTGTTGGAAGTGTTGTGTTCTGTGCTCCACTCCACTGGTATTGGTAAGCAACAGTGCAGTAAATGTGTCTCTACAGCGATGAATCAACACTCAGCAATAGAGGAAATATTGGAAACGGTGTTGTCTACTTGGTCCATACCAAGGGGTTATCAATGGGACAAGTTTAGAGCTTAAGTTAGTTAAAAGTCAGTCTGTTGAGAGAAGACTAGGAGGTTGGTGCGAAATGGCCGTTAGCCTGGGAGTTAGTCGGTTGAAGCACTGAGAGAATTGTAAGGGAGTCTGTGAAAATAAGACTTGGTAAGAGCAGTTGAAGAATCTCTACTGTTTGAAGCTGTTGTTAGGAAACAACTAGTGGATACTGTAACAGACTGTGAACACTAGTCTGTGTGTTCTAGTAATTTGTAAAGTGTGGAGATCAGCGATGATGCTATAATGAAGTGTAGTTATGAGTCATGTGTTAAAGTGGTCAATAAATCCAAACTCCAGTCCAAACAGCTTCAAGAGTCACTTCTACACCTGACAATATTTATCATTTTAAGCTTTATCCTAAAGGGTAAAACAGGCAACAGGGAGACCAAGACAGAAATGGGAAAGAATGAAAAAGCATAATGAAGAGGGAAAAAGAAAAACTCCAAAACAAAGCCCAGGTTTTGGAGAACTCATTGCAATGCATTCACATCATGATATAGGAGACAGCAGAAAGTTCATATTAAGCTGTGTCTTTTCCATCCAACATTTATATCTAAGATAGCAAAATATACTCACTGTGTTTACTCAGGTGGTAACACTTCCTATTTGTACTCTGGAGGTTCCTGGCTCACACCTTGACCAAGACACTGACTAACCTGATGTCTATTCTGTGGATTTCCTCAGTCCCTCCAGGAAAATCCCAAGGTAGTGCTAAAAATCGTTCTACAACCCCTTCCTTCTACATTCTTTCCAATTGACTATCGTCCAGCCATTTGATACTATAGTATATACAAGGTGTGTCCCAAAAGACATGAAATATATTTCTTTCCCGCGCTCCTACTGGTCGGAGCTCGCTGGAAC